AGGACATTGAATTGTTGGAAAAGGTTCAGAGGATGGAGGGTTTGTGATATGAGGAGAGATTAAGATATTTGAAACTGTTTTATCTTGAAAGAAGAAGAGTTAGAGGGGACCTGATTGAGGTAGTTAATATTGTAAAGGGAATTGATAGTGTTAATGCATCATCTTTTTTCGTACTTAATGGGGAGAATAGTAGGACTAGGGAACACAAATATAAATTTTGGCAAGGTAGAAGTCATCTGTAGTTAAGAATGGAATGGGTTGCCTTCAGATGTTGTGGAGACAATAAGCTTAAGTGAGTTTAAGAGAAAGCTTGATAATTATATGAATGATAAGGGATGGATTTGAGATTTTTGTTTTTAATTTATAATAGTTTAGCTGAGATGGACCAACAGCTCTCTTGTTGTCCCTAAGCATTATGTTATGTTAAACATTTTGCTTTAAACACTAAACACTTGAAACACAATTCTATCTTACTTTCCATTCAAAATTTCTTGAAACATTTTCTAAATATTTCTTTAGGTAAAACTTTTCATTCAGTTTAACGAGTTTCATTCAGCTGGAGTTTCTTGGAGGATCATGAATTTGCCCTGTAACTTTAGTCTGATCGAGCTGCCCTCTTTTTAATAAATAAGCCTGGCACGTAAAACCAGTGGGGCAGATTGATCGAAGTGATATAGATAATTGAGTCAAGTGAACAGTAGGCATCATAAGTAAAGTGTGTGAATCACTGTGATATATAGCATGTGTTATAAAAGTTGTTAAGTTTAAAGTGACTGTAGAAATTCTGTGTATTACTAAAAGTTGTATAGAGAAAGAATAAACTGGTTTAATCAAGAAAGGACTTGTATTGCTGAATTTCCTCGGAAATTAACAAACAAGCAGATACGCAACAGGATGTTGAGCCAGATAACAACGTTTTGCAGAAGATAGCCTTTAGGGATCTCCATGGAAGTGAAGAAATGAAGAAATCTTGTACAAACTGCATTTGTAAAAAACCCTATCTAAAGCAACTAAGTAAAGTAAAGTGAAGAAAAGTTGCAGTGTATTTAGGAAAGCCCCTATCAAATCTAAAGCAGTACACTTTCCTACAAAATGAAAACTATAGTTACAGAAAAGAACCCTCCAACCTACACATTTATTCTAATGAAGCTAGTAATATCCCATGAACAAGATAATAAAACTAAAAATTTGAAGTTTACAATGCTTCATGCCACATATTCATGGTCATTAGTTTGAGCATGAGTGACAGTGGAGAAGGTATCTAATTAAGGACAGTTAAACTTTTTCATTAAATACAGAAATTTCTTTGTTTCTTTTTTTACCATGTATAATAAACCTAAGAAGCTACATATTCTTTCATTGGAGTTGTTTTTATTCCAAGATGTAGATGGGATAAACCTGATATTTTTCAATGTTATATTACATGAACTCGTGAATGATTATAATTGTGGCCTATCAAGTTTAATAATTTATTATTATTAATAATTTTTGCTGAATTGTAGAGCATGACTAGTTGCCATGTTAAGAGAATGCCAACATTATTTATGATTTTAGTATGTTTTACAGAATTATAAAACCTATATTTTAAATATTAGGCCCACCATAAGTCACAATCTTTAGTCTGTATAGCATTCAATTCTCAATGATAAATCTTCTGTGGCTACATCTGAACCTTAGTTCTATTGCATTATCAATAGTTTTAGGGATTGGATTAACAAGACTATTCATACTGCATTTGAAGAACAAAAGAAAAAAATTGTATTTTTTCAAGGTAACATAAACTTGTATAAGGGTTACTTTATTAAAATGTTTGCATGTTATATTTTATGAGATAATGAGGTTTCTTTCTAAGTAAAAAATTGCTTCAAAGTATTGTAATGAAAAACAAATTTTTTAGTTGTAAGTACTTCACACCTTGATTCATTATCAGTTCACAGTTCTTTACAAATAAGCAGTTCTATGTATAAAACTTAAAGCTATCATCAAAACTCACAAGTATCCTAATGTTCAAACTGTACCATTTTATTATAGTTTTGTATTTATCTAAGGATGTATCCATTGAATTTTATTGATTGCTGTTTAATAAATATAAGAACCATTTATAGATCTTAGTGTAGAGATATGCTAACTTGTATCTAGTTTGATCATTTTGTTATTCTCGATTTTTAATTTATATTCTTACCTTATTAACCATGTATATATTGTTGCGTCATCGAGATCATGTGATTCTCACGCTCTCTACTTTCTAGAATTATCCTGTACTTTGGCGAATGTTCTAGTTCTTACTGGATATAGGGTAGGCTGGTATATATAAGAGGGGAAAATGTGATGCGGTAAGGTAATGTGTGTATAGACAGTGAGTAATTGAACTGCAGTCAGAAGTATTGACATTCGTTGATTAGCGTTTGTTTTAGCGCGATTGTTGAAGTTAACTGTATCGGTAAAGTTGTATTCGGAAAG